GATGGCTTCTTTGCCATCCACCTCAAAGAGGTAAAGATTCAACTATTGATTTGACTGAAAGATTTCTGCATTTGTCTAATCTCTCAGTCATTGGTTTGAAATTTTCCACATAAAATAATCCTATTACTTGAAGTTTATATATCCCTATTACGGATTTGCAAATTTTGGCTATATTCACACTAATGTAAAATCTCAGGATTGGTTTTTTTCAATAATTGAGTAAGATTCATCACTTTCATTGGCTTGTTCACTTGAGTTCTAATTTTACTGAGTAGCTTTGGTTCGTACCTGCTATGATGTGCATTATTTTGAGACTAATTCAGAGGAATATCATGGTGTTTTAAAGTATGCTCCCTTTTGTTTCTTCTATATGCCAAGTTAGTAAATGTCTTCTTGTTCATTTTAATTTGGGGGTTTTTAAATAAAGAATGCAACTACAGTAAAACCACTGCTTAATAATTTGGACCTAAAGATTTTTTAATATTCTGTGCTTTTAGCTCAACCAGGACCTTCCTGACATGAGGAGTGGTTAAGAATATAGGCTCTGGAGTTGTTCTTACTAACTTTACAATGACCTTGGCTAAGTCATTTAACTTCCATGTGCCTACCACCTAATTTTCCTCATCTTTAAAATGGGGAGAATAATAGTACCTACTTCATAGTGTTATAAAGATTAAATGAAATACTATGTAAAGTGCTTAGCATAATAATGCCTGTCACCTAATAAATAGTCACTGAGTAAACAGATGCCAGCAAATATTAATCATATTTAGGGACATGCGTCTAGCTAATAGTGCACCTATCTCGCTGATTCTAAACTTAGGAAAAATACCATAAGCTTAGTTCAGCCCATTTTCCCAGCTGTGAATCTTAACCTAAAGGGAGTATATCAAATCCTAACTCAATGATTCTGAACCTCCATTACACATTAAATAACACTGATGCCCAAGTCACATCCCCAAATCAAATCAGAGTTTCTTGGAATGGGACATAAGTATTCTTTTCTTCAAAAGCTCCCCAAATGAGTCCCCTGTATAGCTAAGATTGTGAACCACTGCTCTAGGATATTTGCTGGAAGTATTATTGTTCTTTTTTTTTTTTTAAGATTTTATTGAGGAATTAGGGGAGGGGAACAGCGTTGGGGAATCGGGGAAGGGGAACGGACAAGTTGCTGTCCTTTTGTTCTTCAGTCTAGTTGTGGAGGACGTTGCTTCACTGGCCCATGTTGGTATTATCATTGCACTCTTCCCAGGTGAGGCAGATCGATCTCCGGCCACTGGACGGCTGCTCACGGTGGCTCACGGCAGCAGGGGCTGCAGCCTATACCGTCGCCGGCAACTCATGGCAGCCCAGCTCCAGGTTGAGCTGTTGTTCATCATAGCGGTAGAGGGCGCAGCGTCACTGGCCCTAATGTGGGATCTGAACTGGGGCCCTGCTGCTCAGAGCTAGCGCTCCCAAGCCAACTTTTAAGTAATGTGCCACTCGGCCGGCCCTGTTCTTATTTTTTTTAACCAAATCCCTGAGAAGTTTTGTAAGCAGCTCTTTCAGAATGAGTTAATGGGTTAGGTCAGTGCTTCTCGAGCCTGAATGTCCAAACAGATCACCCAAGGATCTTGTGGGTTCATATTTAGGGGGCCTGCAGTAGGGCGGGAGGTTCTGCTTTTCTAACAAGCTCCTAGGGGATGCTGATGGTACTTCAGGTCCTGGAACAACCTTGGGTAGCAGAGGGGTAGGTAACCTTACTAAAGTGACCTGAGCAAGTTGGAAGAAATACTGCTTTTGTAATTATTGTTTATTCAGAAGAATGGATTCCAGTAGCTGCTGTTTTAAAGAGGCTGTAAATACGTTTTTAGAGAAACCTGTAAACATTTACCTCCTAAGCTGTCTTTAGTTATGATAGCCTGACTCTTGGTTTATCTTTTTAGGGCTCTGAAGCAGCTAGTAAAGGAGATTTTCTCTTCAGCAGCGAACACCTGATTGAAATGGCCACCAAGCTCTATCGAACGACTCTCAGCCAAACCAAACAGAAGCTCAATATTGAAATTTCCGATGAGTATGTTCATGAGTTGCTTGAATATACCTTTTAACTCTCAGCTTTATTGTTTCATTTGAACAATCTGATCCCATTCATTTATTACATATTGAATATGCATCTGGCATGTGTTCTAAATGATGGATGGGCCGTAAATGATGCTGACCGGATCTCCGCTTTCGTGTACCTGACACCCTATGGAAGACACAAATATGTACTAATAAAATAATAAGTGGTCACTTATTGTGGCTAGTGACAAGTGGCAAGTGCTATGGAGGGGGAGAAAAGCAGGCTAAGGATCAAAGGGTGTTATTTTTGATAGATCAGGGAAGCCTCTTTTGAGTGACATTTGAGTCAAGACTGGAATCAATGCAGCAAGCCAGGCAACAATCTAGGGAGATGCCCTCTGTGGCAGGGAGGCAGCAAGTGCAAGGGCCCTGAGACATGAGTGAACTTTGTAGCAGAATGAAATGATAATAAAAAGACTCTGGGGAGAGAGGCAGGGGCCAGCTATGTGGAGCTTGGTAGCTGAGGTAAGGAGTTGAGATTTTACTGAGGATAATGGGAAGCTGTTAGGTTTTGAGCAGGGGTGTGGCATGCCCTGATTTATTGTTTTCAAAGATCGCTTTGGCTGCGGTGTGGAGAGTAACTATAGAGAGGCAAAAACAGAAGCAGAGGCAATGGGAGCTTTTCTTAGCTGTCTAGGGTAAGGATGATAGGGCTTAGGCCTGGGTCTGAGAAGAAGGTGGTGAGAAAGAGGTTCTGGATGTGGTTTGAAGAAAAACAAGAGGACTTGTTAACAAAGTGGGTATTAGGTTTTGGGCCTGAGCCCAATTGGTGATACCATTTACTACAATAGATGACACTTGAAAAAAGAGAGGTGTGAAGGCAGACAGGGTGGGGTAAAAGAAAGAGTGTGGTTTTGGATGTATTGTATTTGAGATGCCTTTATTTTCACATATGGATAACTAGAGTTCTAGAAGAAGCATTCTATGTTGACAAGGTTCACTAGCGCTAAGACTGCATACATGTGAAATTAGCGTTTTAACTTGACATTAGCGCTGTAATCATAGACATTATTTGCACGCGGGTTGGAGCATTCCTCCATTTATTAAGTCTATCAATAGAAGATCATTTGAATTTGAGTTACTATTTGTTTGATACTGAATTGATTATTTTTCAACAGATTGTTTACTAAGTGATTAAATACTTGGATAGTAAAAAATTTGCATAACCAGATTGTTCAGGAAATGATTTTATTTTCTAATATAAATTTTGCCAGCCTAATCTATTTCAACTATTTCTAAAAGTCTTTCCAAAACTAATACCGACCCATACCTGTCCCTTTGTAAGCCAAACATACTCTCTTTGATGTGTTAGGATTTGCAGAACCTTAGTCATTTCTTAGTCTATTCTCATTGTACACTAAAAATGGTGTTTAGATTGGGTGGGAGAGTGGCCTTCATGTATACTCTACATTGGGAATTACAGTTGGGACTAAATAACTTTTCTTGTTATTAGAGTCCTTTCTCACAAAATGAAGAGTATTAGGAAAAAAGATAATGGCTAGTTGGGATCCAGTTAATTAAGGTTTTAACCTGGTAGAGTCTGTTAGAGCTTTAAACTTCCTTTATCTGAAATTTTTCTTGGGATGCTGGACTTCTGATTGGATGGGACTGCTACTTCCCACTACCATGGAAGATTAGATGTATTCCAGATGCAAAAGCTCTTTAGTATAGGGAGGAAGCAGGTTTGTGATTGACTGACTAGATTAATTAGGCTGTCTTTACAGAAAAATATCATACCAACAGCCAGGCCACAAGGGATTGCTACTTTTAAGCATTTCCCAAACTGGCATGCTAAGAATACTGCCTTTGCAGGATGTTAATAATGATGTGCTATGAAGAAAGTGTTCTCTGGTGCAAATTTACAATCTTTCTTTACTATGGCCCTTCTCAGAGCCTCTGCAATCTTGTTGCATATTATGGCTCTCAGGAGGGGCTTTGGGAAGAGCGTGTGCTGTGTTTCTCAAATGTAATCAACCACAGAACCCCTCCAGTGGCTCTCACAGTTTGTGTTTGAGGCGCTGAGGCATACGATTACACAACACGGATGAGGATGGCTTGTTTCTGGGCATTGGGGACTCTGTCTTATCACAGAGAGGGGTGTGTGATGTTCTGGGTATGTAGCTTTCAGTAAACATGCTTGTCTGAGTAAAGATGTACATTGTGGCCACATGAATAAAACAAATGTTTAGCAGCATTATAAGTGCTACTTTTCCTTCTCCGTTATTCCTAATTATTGACTGGTCTTGTAAAAATAGGAGAGCAGATGCAACCTTGCATAGCACCCGTGGTCCCTCTCGCAGGCGGCACAGGGAGACACAAGGCCTCCTAAGGTTCCCGTGTAGCCTCTGTTCCATTACCTCTGGGAGCTCGTAAGCAGGGATTATATAATCTTTTGGGGTGCATTTTCAATTTAAA